TAAAATAGTATGTCCAGTATAGCTATGTTAGTAACAAATGTCTTCAGTTTTGGGGTGGGACTAACCATCTGAAAACTAGAAAAATTATCTACTGCATCAGGTTACAGTAGAGAAAAGGTATTTGTACTTCAGCCACTTGACCATTTAAACTCTGTGACTAGCCTAAGTTTTGCTTGGTTGGGGTTGGGGTGGGGTTTCTTGGTTGGTGGTTGGTTGGGTTGCTTATGGGGTTTTGGGTTTTTTTTTATTGTTTTGTTTTGTTTGTGTTTTTCTTTTTCTTTGAATCAACTTACTACATATCAAGGGAGGAACCACCCTAAAGTACCTTTTTGGGTGACAGCTTGCTTTGTTGCAATCAAGTCCTGCAAGCAGGATACCTTAAAACTTGACTGTATTGTCTTTCTTGAGTATCTGTAGATAATTTTTTTTTAATTTGCCTGCTTTTGCGCATAGTTTGAGATTTTCTATTAAAAAAGTTGGAGTATCGGCTGAATTCCCAGCAAGACATTTAATGTGTGTGTTATGTATCTAACCGACCTGCCATCTGGATGCTGGCCTTGTTATCAACTTCAAATGTATAGCTCTGGTTGGGAGAGCAAATGAAGTGGAGGATTAGACAGAGCAGAGAGTTGGGCAGAGAGGAACCTGATGAAGCTCAACAGTGGTAAGTGTAGAGTCCCATGTACCGGTACAGGTAGATCTGCTGGGAAGCAGCTGTGTGGAAAATGACCTGGAAGTCCTGGTGGACAACAAGCTGTCCATGAGCCAGCAGTGTGCCCTGGGGGGCCAAGAAGGCTGATGGGATTCTGGGATGTATTGGGAAGATTATTGCCAGCAGGTTGAGGGATGTGATCATGCCCCTGTGTTCAGCCCTTTTGAGGTGCAGCTGGAGTGCTGTGTCCAGTTCTGGGCTCTGCAGGACAAGAGAGATATGGAGCTCCTGGACCAGGTCCAGTGGAGGGCTACAGAGGTGACTAAGTGACTGGAGCATCTCTTATGAGGACAGGCTGAGGGAGCTGGACCTGTTCAGCCTGGAGAAGAGACAATTGAGAGGGGACCTCATCCATGTCTATCAGTATCTGAAAGGAGGGTATCAAGAGGCTGGAGTCAGGCTCTGCTTGGTGGTGCCAAGCAATAGGCCAAGAGGCAATGGGCAGAAACTGATGCACAGAAAGCTCCACGTGAGCATGAGGAAGGTATTCTTTACTGTGCAGGTGACCACACACTGAGACAGATGACCCAGAGTGGGTGTGGAGTCTCCCTCATTGGAGATACTCCAGAATCGTCTGGACCCAATCCTGTGCCATGTGCTCTAGGATGACCCTGCTTGAGCAGGGAGATTGGACCAGATGACCCACAGTGGTCGCTTCCAACCTCACCCATTCGGGGATTCCATCAATGCACACAAGTATCTTAAGGGTAGGTGTCAAGCAGATAGGACTAGACTCTTTTCAGTGGTGTCCAGAGGCAGGACAAAGGACAAACTAAAGGGTACCAACTAAAACAGAGGCACTTCCATCTGAATATAAGGAAAAAAACTTCTTTAGTGTGAGAGTGACAGAGCACTGGAATGGGCTGCCCAGAGAGACTGTGGAGTCTCCTTGTATGGAGAGATGCCAAACCCAATTCTGTGCAGTGTGCTCTAGGTGGACCTACTTCAGCAGTGGTGGGGGCTTGGACTAGATGATCTCCATTGGTCCCTTCCAACCCCAGTCATTTTGTGGTTCTGCAATTTACTCCATTCTGCATGGTTGAGCTGGAAGTGGGGAAAACGCATTTCTAGTACTGACTAAGGAGTGCAAATAACTAGCCCTATTTATTTCCTGGCACTTGAAAAACTATTAACAGATACACCACAGCTTCTTTGTAGTGCCAGGAAACCACCACTGCATCTGCTTGTATTGAAGAACAGTGTTCCCTATAGTCATAAGGACTTTAACTTTGTTAAAAGTAGTTTCTTCAAGCTGCTAGAAAAACTTTTCTCATTTTCCACTGATAGCATGTGTGTACATAGTGTAGGATCCCTCATTTTCTTCCTTGAGTAAAAATACCTACAAGATCTATGTCCTAATTAGCTGGTAAGAATGTTGAAAATCTTTCTGTGTATTTCATGGCATGTTAAGCTTCTCTCAAAAGCTGTGTATGTGACCACCAGGTCTCAGGGAGCTGCAGGAGCTCCAGAGTCTGAATTACTAAAACTTGCTGTTTTAAGTCTAGCAGTTTACAAAACATGACAGAAGCTCTGCTGACAGCTACCACATAAGCGATGGTGTGGTTGAGGAGCTCTTCAAGTTCCTTTTGTGTTTCAGACCCCTTTAGCTGTTCAGCCAGAAAATGTGCCTCCTCTCTTAGATTAACATCCTTTATGCAGTCACACCATGCCTATTAAAACACAAACTTGCTCCTCACATCTGAATTTACATGGGCCTGTTATTACCATCCTGCAGACCCTTCCTTCAGACCACCCCTTTATTTGTTTTCTGTGGCTGTAGATATGCAAGGGGGTTTTGGGGGGAATTGGATAAACTCTGTCCAAAGAAAATCCTGTTTTATTATTTTTCTCTAAGAGGTGAGAAATTTTATAACTGAAAGACTGAAATTGAGGGTTTTTTCTGCCTATTTTTCCCCACCATGACATGGGATAACAACTTCTAGCTCTTGTCCAAAATTTGAGGTCTTAAAGCCATGTTTATGTTATGTTTACTTAATCACAGAGTAGTTTGGGTTGGAAGGAATCTCAAAGATAATCTTGTTCCAATCCTCTGCCATGGGCAGGGACACTTTCCACCACACCAGGTTGCTCAGAACTCCATCCAACCTGGCCATGAACGCTTCCAGGGATGTGGCATCCACAGCTTCTCTTGGGCAACTTGTTCCAGTGTCTCAACAACTTCACAGTAAAGAATTTCTTCCTAATATCTAACATAAACCTGCCTTCCTTTGATTTAGAGCCATTTCTCCATGTCCTGTCACTACATGTCCTTGTGAAAAGTCCATCTTCAGCTCTCTGGTAGCCACTCTAGGTACTGAAAGGCTGCAATAAGGCTCTTCTCCAGGATGAACAACCCCAGTGTTCTCAGCCTGTGCTCCCTGAGGCTTTATCCTGAGGTGGTCACATGTCTGAAGGATGCTAATAACAGATGCCTGGTTCCCTATGCTCTGTTAGGGATTTCAATATGAGAACTGACTTCATTATTGCTTTATTCTTGGGACTTCGGACTTCCTAAACTTCCAGTATCCTCAGAAACCCTTTGTTAAGCTTTGCTGTAGGCCACCTGTTATTTGGCACTTGGCAAAACAAGTACAAGACTGCTTTTTCTCTTGTACTTAAAACTTTGTTTTGGTTATGTTCTCATTCCATTTCCTCCAGCCACAGTGTTTCCTTTGATTTGACTTGACTAATACGCTTTTCTTTAATGATTCCCACAGCTAGTAGTATCAGTTTACAGCTGTGTGAGTATTTATCAAATTGAAAGCATGTTTTTTTGGAGTTTACATGTAAACAAATGAAGGTACTGACACGTAAGAGTGGTTTGGGTTTTTTTCCAGTCTGTATCAAAGCATTTGCTGACTGAAAGGTTTACTGGTACAGTAGTATGTCATCTCTTCATTACTGTTCTTTATATGGTGAATTAAAATTGAAAGCTGAAGTCTTGGATTCAGAATAATTGGCAGAGGCATTTCTATAAGGACGTCTAAAGGAAGAGATGCTCTAGCTTTAAGGACCTCTCCTGTGTTTCTGCTTTATTAGAATATATAATGGTTTTAATTGGGTTAGCTGTTTCTGTGTCATGTAAAGTTACCTTTTGGACTCTACAGCTTTTTTAAGAAGGTCATGTCTATGTGTGGTTTGTGTGTATGAGGAGGAAGGCTGTGTATATTGAACTTCTCTTTTTTTCTGATGTATTTGTACATGTTGCATTGCGTAATAGACTCACTGTGTTCTATAAATCCCTTGATGTAAGGGGAAATATGGGGACCTTGTGCAATTGCAAGCTCCCAATACAAAGCATGCAAAGTAATTTCATAATGACTTCCATAGTGAAAAGTAAGTTGTCCTGCCTCAGAAGTCATAAAACATGTTTTCCTGTTGTGGCTCCTAGCTTATGAATGTGTAGATCATGATAGTGAGCTACATGACATCTGTATTAAAGAGGAGGAGAGAAATTTCCAGGTCTGTAAGACAGTGGATATAATACAATGCTGAATTGCATGATTTTGAGCTGGTTTGTCTCCAGACAGAGAAGGTTGATGGACCAATAGTGTTTAAATGGCTGTATCTGAATTGTGAGGGAACACAGTAGAGTCCTTTCCTGGCAGGAGAGCAGCTCTTAAAAGAGGATGCATAGGTAGAGCCAGTGGGATAAAAGGTAGCTGGGTGGTGGTTGATGTAGTACTGGTGGTTATTTCATTTCTTCTCTCTGGAATTTCAGTATTCCCAATACATGCGATATCCAAAAATGTATGACGTTTGTTTTTTAATCTTCGATTTAAAACTATAGAAATGTTGACTAATGTTTTCCTTCCTGTTTCAAGAAGAATTTGAGGTAATTGCCAAATTTACTGCACATACTTTTTTTTACCGTTTAGGAGCTGTACATGGTATTTTTCAGCAAACATGTCTGCCTTGTCATAGGAATGCAGTGGAAAATAGTTATGGATTAATAGAGGTGTCCCCAATTAGAAACAAACTGAGACATTACCCCTTTAAAAAAACGATGTCTACTATTTATATAGAACTTCTCGCAATTAAAATATTATCATGCTATTTTAAAAGAGAAATATTGCTATTTTTCACAGGTACCAGAGCATGGAAAGGAAAAGATGAATTGTTCAAGGCCAGCCCTGGTCTAGCTCTTAGTTCTGGGCTCTCTCTAGTAGACAATCTCAAATATGTCCAGTGTAAGGAGGTCTTGAAAACGTTGCTTGAAGCTGCTGAAACATATATGAAATCACAAGTGTTTATTGCTGAATTGTCTTTTTTTTCTGTCCTCTTGCAGATCCTGAAGTGTCTGGAATTTCCATTGAAACAGATAACAAAAACGTAAAAGCAGAGGAGTTTAAGGGTATGGTATGGGCATTGCAGCAATCATTTTTAATATATACACAGTACATGCAAGCTATATATACAGAGGCTGTGCAGCTGTTAAGGTTGCTTTCCTCTTTCCTGGGAGGTCCTGCTCCTACTCTCTCCATTGACTCGTTGTGTATCTTGGTCTTGTTCCTGTTTTTTTTATTACTTGAGGTGGGGTTGGACTAGGTATTCCCCAGAGATCCTTTTCAACCTCACCTGTTCTATGATTTTGACTTGTTTGTCGGTCCTGGTAGCTCACTCTAAATTCTGCCTGGTCTCCTTCCACCCAAAATGATGGGAGCTGATGGAAAGGAGAAGCATTATATATATCTCACAAGGCAAAGAACTGAGGGACTAGAGAGAACAGGTATGTTAGCTAATTATAAGTAACCATAATTTAATGGCTACTTTTAATTGTCAGTAGCTATAATGGCTGTTTATATCGTTGTATGTGCCATGTAAAGTGAAAAAGTACTTCCAATAATGTGCTAGATAACTTAGGGAGGCAAAAAGGAAAACCTGTTTGCTGGGTAGATGAGAATTCTAGTAGTAGCATATGTGTGAGGTTTGTGGGTTGTGTTTATTTGGTTTTTGCATTTGGTTGGAATAGAGAGAGATGAGAGATGAGACTTTAGGAATTAAACTCTTGGCTGAACTTTAGGCCTTATTCATCTGTTTGAGAGAACAATAAAATATTTTAGGGGTCTCTAAAGCTGTCAGCTGGGCTTCTGTCCAGTATTCTTGTCTTGACAAAATACATTTAGAGCTCAACGCAGGAGAGAGGAGAGGAAAGTTCTTCAGGTAATAATAAAGCTTGATTAGGTTCATTCTTTTATATGATCTGTGGCTTGCATTTTGTTACTGTGCTTTTCTTATGATAGAATGAGACCAGTTTAGCATAGCTCAGATGCCATGCCAAGTTATCTGTGTGTAGTGGCACTAAGGGAATGGCAGAGCCAATAGACATAGCTATTCCACTGAGTGCAGCTGGTCTGAAATGCAATTTCCTTTTCTCCTCCAACTCCTGTTACTGTAGAAGAGGGTGATTAGGCACTGGAACAGGCTCCCCAAGTTAATGGTCAGGGCACCAAGCCTGTCAGAGTTCAAGAAGCATCTGGGGGATACTCTCAGTCATATGGTTTAGTTTTAGGTGGTCCTCAAAGGAGCAGAGAGTTGGGTTCAGTGATCCTTAGGGTCCCTTCCAACTTGAGATATTCTGTAATTCTATAACCAAATGATAGCCTCTAGACCAGATGTAAACCCAAATTAAACATTGTCCAGATCCCAGAAGTTTTTTCCAGGCCTGGCAGAGCCACTGCTGATGCACAGCATCCAGTGGGCCTACCTTAATGCAAATTGAGTTCACCTATTCTGAAAAATACCTCTCGTTGACCGTGGGAGAGGGGAACTAAGGAGGAGTTTACTATGTTGTCTCCATTCTGCACACAGTCCCTTTCTTCTGTTCTATTCTTTTTCTCCAAATAAGATTAGTGGGAGGGCATCAATGCTGGTTTTATTTTCTGAAACAAAAATATGTGGCATGCGAGAAAGGGGCAGCTCATTCAAGACAGAGGTGACTTGTTTAGCTAAGAACCCTTGAGCTGAGCTGTCTGTGTCAGCTAGTAGAGACCAGCTCATGAGACTAAGTGTCACGAGGTCAGTAGCAAAAGCAAACTGAGCTTGAGTGATGGTTTTTCTTTGTTAGAAGGATACAAAAACAAAATAGAAAGGAAACTTTAGCAAATCTTAAGATTCAGGAAACCTCCACCCATCCACTCAACCTGAAGTCAGGAACCTCAGACTTCCTGAGTGCACAGTATGTTTTTTGAAGTGGTCAGTGCATGTGTAATATGTTTCTGGCAAGGAAGCTCTCATGCCAATCGGTACCCTTTTTTCCCCTGTGAGATCACTACAACTATCAGTCTGGCTTTTTGGTTTTTTACAAAGCAGGGTGAGTGGGTAGATGTGTTGGTAGTTCTTGCTTGTCGGCAGCTCCAGCCTCGTTTCTGAGACTGGAAAGGAAGGTGATTGTTAATGCAGGTTGGCTATGATCATAGAATCATGTTTGAACAGTGCATGTTTGTCTCATGAAAGCTAGACAGGCATTACCAAAGCTGTAAAGGCTTTTGATTCTTGATACTTTTGCCTGCATTGGAAGATGAGCAGCCTAAAGGTGACAAGATCTGTATTGTATTGGTTTCTTTTACAGAAGTTTCTGGGAGATACTAAATTTTACTTTATTAATAGATTTGGAGCCAGTCAGACGTGTGTTGGATTCTTTCCTCTGCTGTTGTTTCCCAACAGTTCTTATTAATACCTTGACTGAAGAGTTACTTTCTGGGGGGGGGGGGGGAATAACAGATATATTTTGGCATGCTGTTCTATAGGGAATGGCACTACTAAAATGCCCTGCTGTGAGAGAGGTAAAAGGAATTGTTTGGCTTCCAGTATTTCCTATTCATTAGGAGGACTAATTTTGCTTTTTTTTTTTTTTTTCCTTTTTCCTACCCAGTTATGGCAACTTTAGCAGTAATCAGTAACTCTTGAAATATCAGCCCCTCTGTGAAATTTGGTTGATGGTGTCCATTATACAGGAGTCAGGGAAACTTGAGTGGACAGGCAGAAAGGTGAACAATTGAATCAACCTTCTTTTCTTGAGAACTCACAAAAACTAAGAGGTAACTCCCAAGGGATGTTATAAGCAGCCTCTGCTGCCCACAACTTCAGAGGCCTGGGGGTTCCTCCTGCCCAACTACAGACTCACCTTCCACATACCCTTACAATAACCCATGTGAAATTGTAACAAAATACATAAACTTAAGTTACTTAGGAGAATGTTTAACCATCTTACTGGAATGTTTTCTATTTCTGTTGCATTTAAACAATTAAAACTATTGATACTGAATTCAGACCGGTAATTCACAAAATACTGTTCATCACAGGGTCAGAATCCTTTTTTAACAGTGGTCTGCTCACTGCCAAAACTATTTAAACCTAAGATGAGAGTAGTAATACAGAATCTCTGCCCATCCAACAGGGGAATATCTACTCCCCAACATCTGAAGTTTGGTCCAAAGGCCACTGAAGTATGGGGAAATTACTAGTTTCTGTTTCCCCACTGTATTTGTCTAAATCTTGAGAGGCATCACTTTGAGAAGCTGATTGGCCTTTACTGACTACTGAAGTTCTTTTGAAGGGAGAATATTAATTTCATGGAGCCTGAATGTGTACCAAATAGAATACTCAAGTCTCTAATTTTCTATTTATCTTTTTCTTCCATCTAGAGGCTATTCTTAGTTGCAAACACAAATTTTCTAAAGGGATGAGCTTAAGAATAGAATGGAAGAAAATCCAGTCTCAAGGAGTCTCATTTGTCTACTACAATGGTGAATTTACAGGTACAGTACTAAACAGACTGATGGTTTAACATGTCATTCCCTAGCATAGATATTGACTCTTTCTTAGAGAATAACACTAGGAAAATGACTGAAAGAGAAAGCTTTTGACTGTCCATGTGGAACAGCTGTCCTTTTGAGGAAAATAATTCTTTCCTGGGTGGGGGGGAGGCATTTCTTAATAAAATTGACCATTATTAGCTACCTTTTAAGTGAACTTAATATAAGAAAATTCAAGACTAAGAAAAACGGCACTGTGGATTCCTTGACATGTTTCAACAATGAATTTGCAAGCAGATATAGACCCCTCAGAACTACTACAGGCTCTGCACTCCTATCCTAAAAAGAGATTTCTGAAGCTTCCTGTAGAGCTGGAGGCTTAGGTATGAATAATGCAGCAATTTTTATATACATAATTTAAAATATACAGATGAGTTTATATTTTATTTGTATCCTTTTCAGAAGTAGAATTTCTGTCCCTATGTTCTGAAAAGGGCTTGCCTCAGCTTTGTGTTGGAGAAAATATGATTCTCTTAACTGTACACAATAAATGAAGGTTGAGAAGTAAAAAGCACAGCGATTTTTGTTAGTTTGTAGAGCTTGCAGATGTGCTGACCTTGACGATTAACTTGGTTTTTTCTGCATGAATTTAATTTAGAGAAACACTGGAACTCATGGTTCTGTGTGTGTATGTAACTTTAATTTCATAACGAACTGTAGAATTAAGAAAAACACCTCATTGTGAGAAGTCTGATGGCAATATCTTTGCTAAATCTATCAAGTCTTTCTTGCCAAGGTAAAATGTCAAATACTTTGCTGTGGTCTTGCTCACAATTCTCTCCACAAAATAATAAAGCTAGTCATTGCCATGTCTCTAGAGGAAAGGGATGTTTTCTTTGTCACCTGACTACTGCTATACATATTTTCTTGGAATATCTGCAGGAAAAAAAAGCATTCCCTTTTCCAACTGGAAAATGTATGGCGGATGTAGGTTCCTTTGAACTGAAAAGCTGTTGGGTGTTTTTAGCCTAAATGGACAAGTTGTGAGAGGTCCTTACTGTCTTGGGAATGGGATTACATATTGTTCCTTACTGATATATAACTAGCACTGAACAAATGAGCAATAGTTTCACGTACATCATGTACAATTTATTGATACTTTACATTATTTCAGAATAAGTGAACGAGCTATAAATATTTGCTTTCAAACTGAAAGAGCAGAAATTTAGGTCAGATATACAGAGGAAGCTCTTTACTGTGAGGATGGTGAGGCACTGGAACAGGTTTCCCAGAAAAGTTGTGGCTGTTCCATCCCTGGGGGTGTTCAAGGCCAGGTTGGATGGAGCTCTGAGCAACCTGGTCCAGTGGAAGGAAGGTGTCCCTGCCTGTGGTGGGAGGGTTGGAACTAGATGATCTTTTAGGTCTCTTCCAACCTGAAGCATTCTGTATCATTCTATAAGCAGAGAGCAGAAACCACTCTTTGTTCTCCATCAAAGGTGATCTTCGGGGCCGAGCAGAGATGCTGAATACAGGAATCCGAATTAGAAATGTGACCAGAAAGGATTCTGGGACCTACCGCTGTGAAATCAGTGCAAAGAGCGAAGAAGGACAACGCCTGGGAGAGGCGACTATTACTCTCACAGTATTGGGTACAAACTTTATTATTCAGGCTTCTGTAAAGATACTGAGTGATGGTGTGTTGGAGTGTTGATAGGGTTGTCCATGTGGTGTGTGGATTTGTGTGGTCTTTGGGCAGGGTTTATAAACACACCTGCACATGCACAGTCTACAACATACTTCAGAAAACAGCTTTGCAAAAGTCACATGTGCATTAGAAAGGAACATAACTAGGGTTTTGTTGATAGAAAAGCGAGTTGTAGTTCTCAAAACTTAGCAAGTATGCTGATTTACATGGTGGTGAAACTTCATTTCTGTTAAAATTGAAGTCACTCGGTAGCTGAGAATCTGGATAAGATGATCATGGTATTTGGCACTGGAAAGTCAGCATCTGCCAACACTTATGAAATATTCATAAGCAAAATTTCATTCCAATATGCTACAGTCTCCTCCTGGTTTTGGAAGGAGAAACTGCTGCAGTGTCTGTGCAATGAGAGCCAGTGAGCTAGCAATCTGTGGACTTTATTTATAGGGGAGATGGTGTTGGCTGCTGCAAAAAAAAAGGGGGGGGGGTTCTTTGTTGGTTTTGTTTGTTTCCTTTCCCAGTTGGGGAAAGGAGGTAAAAGTGAATACTGAGCACATTCTTCTCACATTATTTCTGGTATCTTTCCCAGTGGATGGGTGGTAGATGATAATAATTATCTTCTTTTTCCTGTACAGGGAGAGAAGAAAATATTTGCTTTTGTAGTTTCTATATTTTTTCTATACAAAATTAATTAATTTTTTTTGTTTGTTTCCTTTCCCAGTTGGGGAAAGGAGGTAAAAGTGAATACTGAGCACATTCTTCTCACATTATTTCTGGTATCTTTCCCAGTGGATGGGTGGTAGATGATAATAATTATCTTCTTTTTCCTGTACAGGGAGAGAAGAAAATATTTGCTTTTGTAGTTTCTATATTTTTTCTATACAAAATTAATTAATTTTTAAAATTATAACTAGGCTAAAAGTTCAAAGAACTTCTGATTATCTTCAACAATGAGATAACACCACTGATTTCTTTTTTTCTTCCACTCCCTCAACAGCTTTCCTCTTTTCTGTGGCTTCTTAATTTAAAGTTGAAATCTTTGAGGCCAAAGAAGAAAGTGTGTGTGTTGCTTACAAACCTCTTTGAAAATGAATGTGAATTACTAGTATTTCACTTGGTTTTCTTAATTTTTGCTTTTTATCTTAAAATCAGCCAAGCAAAAACTATCAATACTTGTTAATGTGTCACTTGCGCTTTCAATGTTCCATGCATGACTCTTCACCCTTAGTTTTCCCCTACTATCTTCAAGTATCCAAAAACAATTATAAAAAATTAAGTTTCTTTTCTGTTCTCTTATTAAAAATCAGAAAAGAGACTTTCATCTTCATGGGAGAAGGAACAAACAGTTGTCTGTGTGTGGGAATGTTTGTTTTTAACATAAACTGAAATGTAGTAACCAATTTGTTTTGGTCCTCAGCCTGGGATTTACACAAAGGATGTGATGATTTCCAGTCTTGGTAATTCTTTCTGACTATCACTTTTCAAAAAACAGTTGACATTTTTTTTGTATATAAAAAAAAACCCCAAACACCTTTTTCACCTTCTCCACTTTTGTTTTTAAATATTAGGGCAGGAAAGGGGGGAATTGCTGGACTACAGATTCCCTGAGTTATCCCATCTTTGTGGGCAAGAGGTTCCATATGAGAAAGAAAGGGAAACAAACTCTCTGGGGTTGGATGAGAGTGCACAGATTGCAGACAGGATGACACAGCATGTGCTGGGGGAGGCTGGGAGCAAGCATCTCTTTCATTTTTAGCAACTCATAAATTTTGCTGTGCTCTCAGTAGCAGGACTCTGCCTTCAACCCCTGCTCCCACACCTCATTTCATTGACGTGGTAGTTGCTAAGTGTGTACGTAAGTGCACATCTCCTCACCTTGACTGTCAATCTGTTGTTGTGTAGACAATGCTGATAAGTCTGTAATAAGTGCAATTTCATTGCCCAGTTGCTCCATCTACTCCAGTCTGTGAAGTACCCAGCTCTGCCATGACGGGAACAGTAGTGCAACTGAGCTGTAAGGAGACTGAGGGGTCTCCTCCATCTGAGTACCAGTGGTACAAGAATGGTGTTGCCTTGCTGGAGAAAACAGGAACAGGCAGTGCTAGAGCAGCAAACGTGACTTACACCATGAATAAAAAGTCTGGCACTCTGGTAAGTGTAATAACCAACTCTGTTGTAGCCAGCTGTCAAGGAGACCAAATTTACTGTTTAGTACAATAATGCACAGGGGTCTTTGTTCCAGAATGCATAAGGTCTTTGCAAGTGATCAATGTCATACTGAGATATGTGCTAATAAAAGTATTTTCTGCCTCAAACCAGTGACAAGCCATAGACATTAATGATACAGACAATTGGGTGAGGTGAAATGCTTCAGTAATGGTAACTGAGCAGAATCTAGAAAATTCATGACAAACTTCACCTGGTCAGTTAGCAAACTAGTGTCAGGTGGACATGAACTCTCAGTATGGCATCAGAGCTATGTTTGATAGAACCTTAAAATCCAAAATATCAGCTTCACATAATTCAGGGAGAGTGCAGCACAAAGGGTAGTGCTGAATCTCTGTGATCCAGTGGCATTTATAAGTTCCCATCCAGGACCTGTGAAGCCAGTGGGAATGAGCTGGGGCTGTGAGCTTAGTGTGTTCTTTGTTTTACTTGTAGATTTTTTTCCCCCTCAGAACTGTCCATGTCTCATCTCTCCCCCATTGCTGCTTCTTCAAAATAAACTGATACATACTAGTGTGTTGTCAGCTGAGATTTTTCAGAAGTAAAGAGCTGCTCTAGGAACACCCTACTCTTGTGCAAGATCAAATGTGGAAACTGAAATGTGACTAAGCATTCAGAGGTGCTGGGGGATCTTTCAGCACACTGTGAAAATCAGGTGGACTACTCAAAATTACTAATCCCTTCTGCAAATTGCAAAATATGGCATATATTAAAGGGAAAAAAAGTTAATGAGTCTAATGGTTAATAAAATTACAGAGAAACACCAGAGTTGGCATGAGGTCAGTGTCCATCTCTTCCTTCCTCATTTTCAATTTTTTATGGTGTAGTATTTGATAAATAATGCAGTTTAACATTTCTACTTGGAAGAAGAAAGTACCATTTTTGGGAGGGGTGGGAACCCCCAACTGAAAATTCTCAGCTGACAATGCATTGTAAGTAGTATGTGTCAAGTGTTTCTGAGGGCTTTCTGAGGGGTTTTATCAAAACAACCACCCCTAATGGGTGGTTGTTTTGATAAAATGAACAAACACTTCTGATTTCAGGTTATTTTGAAATATGAGGCATGCCTGAATAAATATTTAGGCATGTCTGAAAAAAATAAGTATTATTGGAAAGTTCTGATCCACTGAAGAAGAATCTCCTTGTAGATACACTTCACTTAGTTAAAATACCCATCTAAAAGACCCTCTTAGGCCAGAAGTTCAAGGACCAGGGAATGTGAATAAGGAGCTCAGTTGTGAAGTCAAACTGGACCAGAATTTCTCACTTCAGGGTTTATTATGTTTTATTTGTTTAAAACAAACATTGACATGTCAAAATTTCTATCTCACAGTAAATTCTGATTTTTTTTTTTTTTCCATTCTGATAATGGTTTTGAACTCTTTCTTAACAGCTATTTAACACAGTTACAAAGAATGACACTGGAGAGTATTTCTGTGAAGCCTCCAATGGGATCGGATTATCTCAGAAATGCTCAGTGAAACGAATGCAAGTTGGTATGTGTCAAAGAAAATAAGGGTGGAAAACAGTCTCACAATAGGATTTATTTTATTGCATGGTGCAACTGAGAAGCTAAGACCAGATTGAAACAAATATTTTTGTTTGATTACAGCATTTTGGGGGGAGGAGTAATAATAATCTGAGTTCCTTATATGTAGTTGCTGTGGCTACTAAAAGTTTTTCTTTCTTACAGCACAAACATACCTCACTGCATTTCAGAGAAGAGCAGCTAGTTTGGTAACTTAAAATTATTGGAGTAACTAGCTTTTAGATTGCTAAATACTGAGCTTAACAGAACAGCCAGCAGCAGCCATGTGAGAGCCTTAATATTTCCAAATGCTTTTGTGGAAGGTTTACAGGATAATGTGCCAGTCCACTGGGGTATTTTCTTTATGCAAAGCCTCCCTTTTGGGATGCATTCATGTGAGATGTTAACGTAACAGAACAGAAAGTTAACTGAATGGCTCATTCATACCTGCCAGAGGAACACTGAAGAAGTCAGTGTATCCTAAAAATAAATAAATAAAGCCTGCTGCCTGTTTCTTTTCTGCTTGTACAGTGTGGGTGAAGTGTAACTTTGATTAGCTAGTAATGAATTTAGCAAAGGCTGGAAGGGTCAAAGGCTGTAGTAAAATGCTGAAATGTTTTACAAAATATATAACAAGCTCTTGCAGATATGACAGGAAAGCAAATGGTAACCAGTTGTAGTAACTGCTATAGAGAAGATCCTGTCCAAGTATTCCATAATGCAATTGCCTAGTGTTTTCTTAGAACTCTAGCTGAAAATCACTGTCACGGCTTTTAGTGCCTTCTTGGTGGATTCTGAGCAAGTGTTCCTCAAGCTACTGAGATGGAATCACTCTGCTGAGGAAATACCTAAGTCCGAAATTGGTGTCAGTCAATGTGCAAAAATTGATAGATTTGGGGGTAAAATTCTCAACTGTATGTTAATTTATATTTAAAATCAGGATCTAAACAAGTAATTTGACATATAACAAAAAACTGAAAACGTTTCTGCTTGTTGATGGTTTTGCTTTTCCTAAAATGATGGTTGTCTGAAGCTCCCAGTGACTATATCAGGAAATGAGTATGGTCCATGTCGTGGGTTAATGCAAGTCATCACCTTCAAAATAAAAATGGCTAGGTGCTTCTGTAGCCTGATGTAGGGTTTAACTTCAAGCAACTTGGCTTTATTGTGTTGTATTTTAAAAGCCTTGCTATTTTAAAATTTAAAAAGCATTGAATTTTGAATAATTCATTTGAAGAGTTCTTCAGAACTGGGACCTGACCACCATCAGCTGTTTTAGGCAAACTAACTGTATGAAAACACTTGCTTTAAGACTTAGAGACTTCGATATATTTTCCCTTAGAGACACATGACTTGGATAATACTCATTTAGGATAGGTATAATGAGGAGTAGGTATCCCTTGACCCCTTTTATTGTTTCCTAACTTTGACCCAAACTAAGCAGTTGAAGTGTATCAAGCACTCTGTTAATGTGGCTGGAATACAGTAGTCCTTTTGGACTGCTTACCTATGTCAAAGTGTTCCTAACTAACTTATGCAGCTGGGGCTAAAGACCACCTATATATACAAAAGATGCCTGTAGTAATTGGGGAAAAATCCAGCCAATGGAAATTTTTACAATTCACAACATTGAACTAATGTTTTATAATTACAGATGACCTTAATGTAAGCGCTATCATCATTGCTGTAGTGTTTGTGGCTGTGGTAATGTCACTGTGTGGCCTTGGAGTATTCTATGCCCATAAAAAGGGCTACTTTGCAAGTAAGTAAAATAAAATCACTCCTTCCTAGTGTCAAAAAAATGTCTGTATTTAGAGTTTCCTGGAGGATTTACGTTGCCCAGGGAAGCTGTGGCTGCCGCATCCCTGAAAATGTTAAGGTCAGGTTGGATGGCTCTCTGAGCTGGTCTGGTAGGTGTCCCTGTCCATAGTAGGGGGTTTTGGAACTAGATGGACTTTAAGGTCCCTTCCAACTGAAACCATTCTCTAATTTGTGATTCTGCTGACTGTACCATGTGCTCCTTTTCACGAAGGCTCTTAACTACATGGCACTAAAGCTGAAGAGCATTACCACAGCAAGTTTGTTGTGCAGACATTGTTATTCTGCCAACTTCTACTGCAAAAGATACTTGAAGAACAATGTAGAGACTTTTATGTAGTTGGCTTAAGGCTGCCAAACAGCAATCTAGGGAAATCAGTGAGACAAATCATAGTTCCTGGAACCTTTCTGCTCTAGTTTAGCGAGGAAATGACAAAGAAAGGCAACATAAAAATGAGCCAGTTTTGGTCTACAAGGTCTGACTGGCTAAGTTGTGATGAAAGGGAAACTGAATTGACTGTCTGTCTTCTGGGGGGTGGAGAAAGTTTGCATTTAGGGATTGCTGTTAAAAGCTTGACACCCAGCAACCCTCTCTGGAGTGTTTACACTGGTGCCTGTAGAATTGAGCTCAGCAAGGAAGGATGCCAAATGTCAGGGTCTGAAAAGGTCATCTGCCTGAAAGCAACAGAGGCTACAGAGTTGCTGTTAGAGGTCACTTGGAGCTTCATTTACCCTTGAAAGCAACCTCATTTCTGTTTAAACTGACCACTGACATTAGGTTCAGAATCTCCTTCTAGAAACCAAAGATATGAGTAAGCTAGGAATAATTATTTCAAAGGAAACTGTTCTTGTGCTAATTCTTTTTTTTCTGTGTGTGTTTTTGTTTATTGCCTTTTTTTTCTTTTTCAGAGGAAAGCTCTTCCCAGTAAGTATCTTGGTGCAAGTAGTACGCAAATCACTGCAAACTTCATTTACATTTCTGGTGATTTAGTAACTGTAACAATTGTTTAAGGCTTTTCTTACATGATTTTTGTACAGTGGCTTTTTTTGAACACTGAAATAAACCTGTACACACCTGTTGGTTCCTTTTTTAGAACCAGTGTGCTGATGAGAAAGTGAATTGAGCATCATTACCTTACTGTGATAAGTGTGCAGAGATGTGTCTTTTTATGCAGTTATGGTTTATACTCCTAACTCAGCTACAGGCATGCATGTGACTCCTCTTCAAACTAGGTAAAAGAACCGAATTGAACTGCCATCATATCCACATCTACAGATTATTTCAGGAAATGTTTAGCAAAATATGACTGGTGGGAACTATTTGGTGGTGTCTGATCTACTCCTTTGATACTGATTTTTTTTTTTTTTTCCACGCACTTAAATTTCTTCGTGGCAAGTCAGAATTCCTCAAGCTATTTTAGTGCCCCCACGAGTCTTTTTCTTGGGTTTTTTTTACTTTTAAAAGTTTATCTTATCCCTTCTAAATATGTAATGTACTAAAGAGAAATACAAATATGACTTTCAAACACTGTGTGATTTATCTAGCCATGAGCTAGACAAAAAGTGTGACTGAGAGACCTGAAAAGCCAAGCTAGAGAAGGTGGTTTCCAGTGGTTTAAGACATAATGACAGCTATCTGAAAGCATTCAATGGATATGTTACTGTAACTTTTTTCTAAGGTGGGGGGGAACACTAACAATCATTGAAAATCTGAAAAAAATATATTCCCAAAGGGTTAGAACCATCACCAGAAAAATCACTGTTTAACTTCTGTTCCTTTTCTGCTCTTTTAACAGAAAAATGGTGAACTATCAGTCTACAAGTGAAAAGGCAAGTCTTTTGCGTTGAGTAGTGTGTTCAAAAAGTTTTAGATGTCTTCAAAATTCCTTAGCTCTGTGATGTTTTTGCTCACATACACAAACCTCCTCACACCCACCAAGCTGTATATGTCCACCAGTACCTGGACATACCTTATCTTTGTTTGCATTTACAGCTTTGTCTGCAGTGCCATACAACAACAGCACCTTGCTCCATACTTTGCCATCTTCTTGTACACATCAGTTAACCAAGGAAACTAACTCAGACATAATCCAAAGCAGCAGTGAGAGAAAGATTTGGTCTTAATTCCTCTAAGAATAATGTGGGTCAAAAGACTTGACTAAATATGGAAGCTGAAGTTTTTAATTTTTCCCCCTCCCTCTTTCTAAGAGCTCTAACTGTATGTACATCGCTCCAGCTTTTCAGATTGGTGCAAAAAGAATGGGGCTCCAACTAAAACTTCAGCTGGGAGCAACTTCACTATCTATAGTTTCAGACTATTAAGGAGCATTAGTAGCACTAATGTAGCCTTAAAAACTTCCTGAATGCCACCCATTTCCTTAATCAAATCTTAATGGGCTAAATGTCATGAGCCTATTCCTTGACCTAGTATGTGTAGAAAAAAATTACTGAGACTAACTACCTGGCTGCTCTGAGTGAGAAGGAGCAAACTTTGAAGAGCTATGGTATCTGTTTAACAGTATTAATGCATTTATGAATCAGATGCTCAAAAGAGCTGCTTGATACTTGTATTTATGAATAGGTTATTACTTCTGTTCTGCGTGACAGTGCATTCTGAAGACTTCCCATTCCAGGAAAGAGTAAACATTAATTAACACTGCTTCAGAAGTGCTTCTTGTCCATCTTGAAGCCTTAGTTTCTTCTGAAATGTATACTAAATGTTGACCTGCTTAAAAATCTTTGAACTACTACTACTACTAATGTAACCTTGTTTGCTTCATTTAGGATTTCAAGCATACCAAGTCCTTTGTTATTTAGAAGATTTCAGCCTCTGTGAGGGACATCAAATGACTACTTGTTATACAAAAGTATCAAAGTGTCCTGGTTTTGGCCGGGATAATTTTCTTCTGAGTAGCTGGTACAGTGCTGTGTTTTGGATTTAACATCACAGTAATGTTGATAACACGCTGATGTTTTAGTTGTTGCTAAGTAGTGCTTATTCTATGTCAAGAACTTCTCGATGTCTCGTGTTCTGCCAGTGAGGAGGTGCACAAGAAGCTGGGAGAGAGCACAGCTGGGACATCTGACCTGAGCTGGCCAAAGGGATATTCCACACCACAGAACATCATGCCCAATATATAAACTGGCGGGAATTGTCTGGGAGGAGCCAATTGCTTTCAGGGGATGAGCTAGGCATTGGTCAGTGGGTGGTGAGAAACTGTGTTGTTCATCACTTGTTCTTGGGCTTTACGCCTCTCTCTCCTTTTCATTACCATTATTGTTGTTATTATCATTAGTGTTATTAGTATTACTATATTTTACTTTGTTTCAATTATTAAGTTGTTCTTATCTCAACCCATGAGTTCTGCTTTTTTCCCCCCCCTGATTTGCCTCCCCACTGGGGCTGGGGTGAGGGGCAGTGAATGAGCTGCTGGCTGGGGTTAAACCACAACAGTCCTTTTTGGCACCCAGTGTGGGACTCAGGGTTGAGATAATGACAGATCTGACCACGGCACCCAGTGTGGGACTCAGAGTTGAGATAATGACATATCTGACCAGAGCATATTAAACCAAATTTGTTACAAGCAGTCATTGTATTGGTTTAATGGTGGCTGATCACCATGGTGATTAATTTGCTCTGAGCTCCTGTGGGTGTGCTCTCAGATGTGTTACGTGCTGCCTTTCTTGCTGTGTGTGTTCCCTGTGGTGGTGTTCATCCTCCGTGGGCCGTGGGCTAAGGTTATCACTGTGGTGTTCCTTGTCGTACTGGCTTGTGGCAAGATAAATGGCTGGTCGTGAGCCTCGCCTGGTGTGTGTCCGCTCTGTCCTTCGGGATCCATCTGCTGGGAACTATCCATAATTGCATCCATTGCTTTTTTCCCTCGGAGAGCCAACCTGTGGGAGAAACACCTTGCTTCCCCTCCAGGATGAGTACAGCAGCGTCTGAGAATGTCAAAGACTTTGAATATCCTCTGACTACCCTTGAAGCCAGCCTGGTCCTTTTGCTAGTGACCAGCATGTTGTTGCATGTGGTTCAGGCCATCTTGAGAATTAAGCAATGATCTGTGGCTATTCAAACCCTGGCGACAAGCATTGTGGCTACTCACACTCCAGCAACAAGGACTGTGACTACACAAACTCCAGTGACAGGCCAACAAGACCAAGAGGCAACCAGTCAATCCTTATCCCTGAGTGAGCTGCAGGATATACAAAGAGATTTCAATTGTAGTCCCGGTGACTACATTACCACCTGGCTGCTCTGATGCTGGGATAACAAGGCTAGCAGTTTGGAATTAGAGGGTAGGGAAGCCAAGCAGCTGAGATCACTTGCTAGGGATGGAGGCATTGACAAGGTGATGGGAAGAGAGACACAAGTCCTCAGCCTCTGGAGGCAACTCCTGTCAGATGTGAAGGAAAGGTATCCCTCTGAGGCAGATGTTACATGTCACCCAGGCAAGTGGAGCACAGTAGAGAAAGGTATCAATACCTGAGGGAATTAGCTGTGCTGGAGATTATTTATTTTGACCTGAACAACATGCACTGCCCCACAGATCCAGACCAAGTCCCATGCACACAGGCATTTCAGAACATTTTGTGCACACTTGCCATCTCCAGGAATACGAGGACAACCTCTCTTCCTCTCTCATCTCATCTATGAAGAAAATATCAGACAAACTGACCCAGAGTTTGTCTGCTAAGAGTTTGTCTGAAAGAGTTCCAGCAAGTTAGAGAGGATACATTCTACTCCCCACCTGTACAGACCTGCATCTCAGCTTGTAACAGCATACTTTGGGAGGATATGGAAGGTACACACTATGGAGTACCCTGTGGTTTTAGCTGAGGGATCACAGAGAGGACATGAGGAATTGGAATGGAAGACCTACCTCGACCCTAGAGATATGGGTACATGAATTTCAAGGGAAGACAGTAGCAAATGGGGATTCTTTCATGGAAGTTGGTACTCCAGTCTTCAGTGGACAGTTTGGCAGGCAGAGTGGAAGGACTGAACTTAACTCCTGATCCTATGGAAAGAAATTCTAAACCATTTCTTCAGGAAGCAAGCTTTCTTAGGCGTTATGGGTTTTTGGGGAGTGCATATTCCAAACTACAGTGTGACTGTAAGGTTCCTCTATTGAGTGACTCAGAAGAATGATTTCACAGGGGCCCTGAGCACCCCGAAGATTTTGAACAAATTAAACATTAGAGTTGGAAAACTTGGGCCAAAGAACATGGCATTGAGTGGGTGTATCACATCCCCTATCATGCACCACCCTCCGGGAAAATGAAATGATGGACTGTTAAAGACTACACTGAGAGCATGGGGTGGGGAGACCTTCAAATGTTGGGATACAGATTTAGCAAGTCCACCTGGTGAGTCAGCACTGGAGGACCTGTCAATCAGCTTTTATATACTGTAGAAGGGAATAAAGTTCCTGTAGTGCACATAAAAATATGCTGGGGAAGACAATCTAGGTTATTCCTAGCTTGGACAAAGGCAAACCCATCTGTGTGACTGCTTTTGCTGGATGCCTGGGTGCATTTGGTAAGCTTGGAGGATGGGGAAGTCTGGTGAAACCAGGCAGGCACAGCAGTGATGGAATCAGAACTGGCTTCAACATGCAGCAGTTCAACACCACAAACAATCTTTCCTGCCATGAAAGACTGTTAGGGCAGATGGAGCCAAAAGTCGGGGACTACCTGAACTCAGTGGACTTTTACAGGGATTGTCTAAGTAGAGATCTGTATGTGTATATATCAAAAGACAGGAAAAGTGATGTATTGGAAAGCGTGGGAGTTGGCATGACATAAATTGTATGGAATAAGCAGTAAATACTGTTCTGGTCTCAGCTGGGAGTTAGTTTTCTTCTTAGTAGCTGGTATAGAGCTGATTTGTAGATTCAATATGAGAAAAATGCTGGTAACACACTCT